ATATAAATAATTATATTATTCATTGTAGGGTTCTAGAGAATAATTTTTTAATCGTTAGTTATATCATTGATAGTTCATACAAGTTCATTGCTATATACAACTTGCATCTTGAGTTCACTTTTGGAAGCACATGGTTGTATTGATCACTGTTGAAATTGTTCTGAGCGAGAACAATCTTGTTTTTTCATATAGTAGCCTTAATGTCGTCTTGTGGCTTTCTTTATAGTGAATTGCAGGCCATTTTCCAGTCTCTTGCGCTCTATCGCCATGAACTTCACAGAAGTGATAATTCTAATATTACTCGTCGTAAGTCCTATCACTATTCTTTCGGAACACATAATCGCGCCTCTCTCCAGAATCTGTACGCGTATATACGACATCAAAATTTATTTCAATTTAAACATACACCCCTGAACATATTGCTACATCAGCTGAGTACTTTCTGTCTGGGTGTACAACCTATGCGTCTGGAGGCGCTGTATATGCTCATAAAATCGTGTAACTGCTCGCATATTGAAGTGTTGCAAACATCACTGCATATCTCATTGATATTCTGTACTTGCTCTGTGTCCTCAGGCCATAGCACAGGCAAACCAGTCACCCGAGGAAACGAGAAATGCACAAGAAGCAGCTCATAGCCCTCCTCAGGGCATCGCAGTGCCGAACACAGTCGAGGTGGTCAACAATGACACAGGCAGCCACGTTCCGGATAATGTAAATAACCAGGACGATAGCCGGAACAATACCCACCAGCCTACCGACGTAGTGGTAAACGACAATGTCGCAAATGTTAACGACAGCAAGGTCAGTGATGACAGGGGCATCGCTGAAGGCAACCGCCAAGTGGATACTATGGCGGAAGACAGTAGTGTAGATGAACAGCCACGTGCACGTGCCCCTGTAGACACCAGCGCAACCGAGTCCACAACCAACACAGAGGAGGGCAAGACCCACAAACCAGACACAGAGAGTGGGACAACCACACATAGCAACCGCATATCATCACCAGCCAGCCCTAGCAACCAATCGTCGCGAAAGGACCGCACTTCACGCTCGCGTAGTCCCCGAAGCGCATCGCCGCCTCGACGCAATCGCAATCGGTCTCCACGAGGCAGTAAGTGCTCGCGAAGACGCTCTGGATCTCGAGGCAGATCTAGATCTAGATCTAGATCACGGTCGAGGAATGGGCGCAGAGCAGATAGACGAGGATCTAGATCCAGGTCTAGGTCTAGAAGGAGATCCAGATCCAGATCGTACTCACGATCCAGATCTAGATCTAGGTCGCCCCGACGAGCCAGAAGGAGAGCAAACGACGAGGCAAGGCCCATAACACGCACGGACAGTAGCGACAAGAACGCAGCGAAGGCGTCCACGACAACAGAGATTAGCAAAACCACCGCAGCGGCAGCTGAGAGTTTACGGGAGAAGCTGTTGGCGTCCAAGATGTCTAAGGACAAGGTAAACGCCGAAGCCAATGGCAGTGCCAGAACTAGTGCGGGTGCGAAGGAACAGGAGAAGGGGTCCAAGGAGAAAGAGCGTGACAGTGCCAAGCTAGAGGCTGAGAACAAACTCAGAGAGAAGCTCCTGGCCGAACGGGCTGCGAAGGCGTTGCGAGAGAAGTTACTGAAGGGGCGGCAACAACGGGAGAGCATAGACGATGTGCGGCAAGAGAGCCTCGACAGTGTGGCCGAGATGATCAATGAGGAAGCAGAGCAGGCGGAGGAGGTCAGGTTGGAGGAGGAACGCAGGCTGGAGAAGGTCAGGGAGGCGGAGAAAAAGGCTCAGGAAAAGGCCGACGAGGAGCAGCGAATGGCGGACGAGGCCCAGAGAAAGGCCGATGCAGAACAACGAGAGGCCGATGAGAAACAAGTAAGGGCTGACGAACAGGAGCGGAGTGCGGACGAGACAAGCAGCGTCGTGGACGAGGAGATGCGTGAGGAGAAGCGCACGGGCGAGAAGAGGGGCAGGCATGATGATGAAGGCGATGCTCACGAGAGTGATAAGAAGGCTAGACGGAACTCTGATGGAGATGGGGACGTAGACGATCGCGATGATGAAACTCATGTGGAGGTTACCCTCAAACTAGGTACTTGTTGTATCCTATGCCAGATATCAGGATTTGAGCGCATATACCTTCTCTGTGTATATACTGGAATGTTTGATACACCGTTGTAAATAATTAATCATATTGCATATGTTGGAGTTTACACACACACACAACACGTATACACACACACACACACACACACACACACACACACACACACACACACACACACACACACACACACACACACAC